CTTTATTCACAGTATATATTAGTAATATCTTTTTTCAGATTAATTTATATTTTTACCTCAAGTACATTTTAATATAGTCTACTGTAAACAATATAATTTGCTACAAAATTTAAGACACAAGTTTGTTTATAATTTTATGTTGTGTATCTATGTATGCATATGTTCTAATATATATTTTATATATCTGTATATCTCTACTATATTCAAAAATGTATATATATATATATATATATATATTTATATATTACATAATATAAAATTATGCATAAAATTTAATCTCAAATTTTGTTGCAAGATCGTTTAAAATAGACTGAAAATATTAAAATAACTGCTAGACAAATCATAATGCATTTAAGTGATTCTAATTTTCATTACAATATATTTATAGTGGTATAAAGCATGTTAATGTAGAAATTTTCCCACCCAAACAGGTTGTAGTTAAGCATTTTGCACGCGTTTTACGCATAAAGTTGGCACAATTTGCTCATTATCGCAGATATTTATCGTAATCGATTCTACCCTACAATGTTTCGAACATTTCTAGCTCTAAGCTGTACTTATATATGAAACTTTAAAAATAGATACCTATGTATAACATAGGTGTATGAGACTATTAAAAATTTTCTATTTGAGCATCCTTTACACGTATATGCAGGCCCTATGTGTAAAGGGATCTATAATTTCTAAATATCTTGAGACGATTTTCTTACGTTTAATTTTTCCCTGGCATAATAGAATATCATGACATTTATAGAATATCAAAAAAGTAAAATTATAATTAGAAACTCTTTATATAATTTTGAAAAATAGATGTGTTAATAGAAGAATTTCATCGTATATTTTCTGTTTTACGTCGTTAATTTACTTTTGCTTGCAAATATTTATTAATAATAATAATATAAATGTATAATAACAATAATATAAATATATATACCATAAAAGTTTTCAAAGACAGAAATTAATATTCAACTTTATTGAAAGGTTTTATTAGAAATCAAATTCTACTCCTGATTTTATTTTCTTTGACTTGTGACATTCTCTTTTGGAAAATGCAACATTTCGCTTGCGACAGCAAGAAGTCTAACGCTAGACTTGCCTCCGATAAACTCGTTGTGCACTCCGATGCACTCATGCTACGGTTGAAGCGGTTGTAACCTCGGTGCATGCTCGCATTGCCGCTTATTTCACTCAACGAAGCAGCTGCGGCATGAAGTCAAGTGGATTTTTATCCATCTGTCCAAGCGAACTAGCTGCACTTTCCAGGTATTTTCTTAATCCGCGAGCAATGAACATTCTCTTGAATTCTCGGAGCAAAAATTATTTTCTCTATTCAAGAATTACAATTGACTGAGCAAAAAAAATATAAAATATATATGATTAATATAATTATTTTAAATGCACTTTATCTTTTTAATTTTTATTATTTAGATTTTATTTTAGATATATGTATAAGAAAAATAGCTAAAATTTAAATTTAAATTATTTTATATATTCTACCCATTAAAAATTTTTATATGAACATGTGTCTACTGTTATATTTACTTAATATAAATTCTATTTTTCTTATTGTATTATAATTTAATGTTAGAAAAAAAATTACATGATTGCTATACCGTTTAAAATTGCTTTAAGATAGACGAGGAATTCAAGAAAGGTTCAAACAGCAGTCGTTACGCATTAAGAACGTAACACCAGTGCGTATATATTAGCCTGCGTAATTTTAGCACACACGTCTCTCGAACAAACTCTTTTTGCGTTGCGTCACGCGGTGTCGGGACGTGGGTGAAGAAGCGTCTCGTTACATAACGTCCTTCGTCTGTACGACCCTCTTCAGTTCTATTCCTATCATTTCAACGGTACAAGGAACGCGTCACGACGACAATTCGTGAATCACTTCAATTAACCCTTTGCCATCCAATTAGTCTCGCATTGTTTTTTTTTTTTTTTTTAATTTTAAGTCTGATATCGTATAAAATCATATTTCTACTTTGAACATTATAAATTTCAAAGGAACAAATGTATCATTTTTTTAAAAAACGACAAGTTTCATGTGTGCAAATTAAAAAAAAAAAATATTTGAAAAAAATAAAAATGTTTATTTTTTAATATTGTGAAATAATAGAATGGAAATGAAAAATAAAATAATCGTAGCTTTCTTTTATAAATATATAAAAAAATTCACAAAAAATTTTAATCCATTCATATAATATATATATAATTTAATTATAAATTCAAATTAATGTTTTTTTAAGAGGCAACTATAAGTAACTGGGAATGTCGTTTAAAAACACCGCAGATGATTGAGCAGATAGATAATATGGACTTATTCGAAGATAATTTCTCCCTGCACATATGCTACGAATACCAGATTATCCGTTGCGAATGCAAAGGAACCGTTTAATTAAAAACATGGAAAATAGATAAAAACACAAGATAAAAAACAAATAGAACAGAAGAGGAGAGGGCAAATAATCGGTTCCTCGTTTTTTTTGTAATGACGCAGCGTGATTGTTGCACAAGCCACACTTATCTCAACTTATTTTACGTTACACGGTTGCATCTAGCGACCATAATTAATGCGTGAGATTACGATATGCCCGAGGGGTTGTGAAAAAAGAGTTTTAAGCTGAAGAAGCCATCACAAAATTTTTTTCCAGAAGTAAATTGCTAATTGTTGAAGTCAGAAATTGTTTAAATACTTTTGTCAAAAAATAATCAAAAAGTAATTTGTCGAAAAATAATTTGTTAATACAGTAAATCAATTACTAACAAAATATTTTATACAATATATTGTATATAGAATTTGATTTCTAATAAAATTTCTTAATAAAATTAAATATTAATTTCTGTCTTCTCTTTCAAAAAATGTTTATGATATAAATGTATATTTATTATTGTTATTATATACATTTACATATTCATTATTAATAATAAATTTGCATGTTTTAAGTAAATACGACATAAAACAGAAAATATACGACAAAAGTCTTTCAATTAACATATCTATTTTTCAAAATTATATAATTTCAAAAAAATTATATAAAGAATTCAAATTATCGAAGATAAGATCGGCTTTGAATTTAATTATATTTTCAGTTTATATAATTATGAACTTTTTTCATATCATTAGTATAAATAAAACGGAATAAATAAAACCAAGTTATCAACTAATATGAATAGATTACAAAAATTAGAAAAATTGATGTATATAGAATTATTTATAATTATACAATTTATAATTATAGTTACACACACTCAATTAATTATTAATATATTTTTCATAAAATGGATATTCTTTATAATATAAGATTAAATCTGATATATATATGGTATATTATATAAAATATTTATCTTTTTTAACAGAATTCATTATAATTAATTGTAATCCATCCATTTTGAGGTAACGGAACTACACTCTACAGTCTACAATCTACAGACTACAATCTACAGTCTACAATCTACAATTTTCAACACTACAATCAAATATATATGAAACCGTTACCTCATAATAAAATAATTCGACTCACCAATCGATGCACAACCGCAAATTTGTTGATCTGTAACATACAAAATAAAATTTAAATTATAATAGCGCTTCAAAAATAATTAATATATATTTTCAAAAATTATTATTGTATACATTAAGTTTTATATTAAATATATGCGTACAATAATCAGTAGAAATATTTAATATTGAATAACTTTATATTTTGTAAAAACATTTTTAATTTAAAACTTTTATAAAATTTATATGAAAAATATTTTTCTTTAATTCTCTCTTGTTCACATCACTTAAATTTATAAATAAAATCAATGCGTGTGCGCAATTTATAACAAATATTATATACAAATAATAAATGCTCACCATAAAGCTGCTGGTCCAGCGCCCGATGCCTTCCAGACCTGCTCCTCCTCTCAGATTGATCAGGATTGTCCATCGATTATCAAAGTTCATTGATTTAAACACGCGATACTTTACGAACGACACTCCCGCACTAAACGCTCGATACTTTGAACGACACTCCCGCATTTAAACGCGCGATACTTTGCACGACACTCCCGCACTTAAACGCGCGATACTTTACACGACACTCCCGTATTTAAAAGTGCGATACTTTACATGACATTTCTGTAATAAACGCGCGAATCCCCGTATTAAACGTGCGATATTTTGCACGCCGGATCTTATTCTTCAAATGTTGAAATTTGCTAAATTACGGATATTTAAATATATGTCCAGACGTATGCTCAATTAATGAAATTCCTAATAAAACTTACTTTTCGAACACAACTCTCTATCTCTCCTTTAATTGAATTTAACAAATTAATATAAAATCTATTAAATTATCTTTTATATATTTGTTATATATTATTATATTTATAACTATATATTTGTGCAGTTATATTACTACATATAAAAAAGTTTGAAATTTTTTTATTACGCGCTTGGACTGTTATTAAAACTCAATAATTATTTTTTATTTTATTCGCGGCTTATGAATTACGCGATAATGCAATCGATTTCAAATTTAAATAATGAATAAGTAACGCGTGTATATAAAATGTTATTCTAATACAAATGTTCTATCAAAAATCCATCAAAATCAATTTTAATCAATTATGGATGAATGGATTACAAAATATTATAAAATCGACATATTATAACAAGTAAATAATTATGATTGTGTAATTAATTACTAGTATTAATTCATAATGATTAATATATGTTTTATAAAATAAATTAGATTAAAGATACTACGTAAACAAAATATAAATATAGAAAATGTTTTCCATATTTATTTTATTTAGAAAATATTGTATGAAATTATTTTATTTAGAAAATATTGTATATTGAAAAATTCTTTTGTTCTTTTTAAACTGAAATGTTATTAATTCATATTTGTAACCCATTCATTTTGAGATAACGGAAATCTATCTACAATCTACAATCTATGATCTCTATCTACAAAATCTATTTTCTACAAAACCGTTATCTCGTGTAATAATTTAAAACTCACACATGATGTACAATACCATTTGATGTCCAAAGTTGACTGCAGAGTTGAACAATTATATGTTGATCTGTAACATAAGAGATAAAATATAAATTACAACAGTAATTAATATTAATATAAGTATTATAAATAAGAAGAATTATAATTTAATAATTTTATAAATTTTGATTCAATACAATTTATAATAAATACTCACTTCTAAATTAGTTCACTGATGCCCAATATCTTTCCTACATCTCCTCCTCTCAGGTTGTCAGCTACATTGCTCTGTATCATACAAATAAAATTTAAATTAACTTAACTTAAACTTTTATTACTTTTAAACATAATGTTCATTATTTTTTTATATATAATTTTAAAATTAATAAATAACTTATAGAAATAATAAGATTATTATTATGACATTTATTATAGCAAGTTTAAATGCAAACTTTTATGTATTAATAATTGTTAGAAAAATATTATAAATTGTTTTGCAATAAAGTAATAAATATGAAGTATTAACCTTATGATTATTGCTTTGTCATCGCCTGATACCATCCAGGTCTCCTCCTTGCTTATTTCATTATTGTCACTTTTCCATGGTACTCACTAAAAAAAAGAAACAATTAATTAAGCACGCGCTTGCAAAAACGATTAATTATAGATGCACTAATTAAAATAGAAAAGTTTATACTTACTTGGTGTGATTCACAGCAGTGATGTACACAAGTGTATAGTGCATAGTCAATTTACATAGCATTGATCTGTAAAATATATACATAAATATATGTACTTAACCTAACAAAAATTAAAACAAGTATCCAAATTGTATCTAATACATCTCAAAAGGTAAATATTCCTTGTATTAAAATTTTTCTTTTATTAAATTTTTTTACGAACAATAAAATAATAAATAATAAAGTATTAACCTTGGGTCTTCTCTTCTCTTATTTCAGCTTGGCTCTTTCGTGGTACTCACTAGAAAAAAACAATTAATTATAATTAGCACGAGCTTGCAAAAACGATTAATTACGACTCACAATCTTTTACGATATCTTTAATATATACTAATTTCGTATGCATGCATGGCAGAAATTACAATAAATCATTAATTTACTCACACATTTATTCGTATGCAGGACCAATTTTCACTAAGTTCGGTTAAATGAACGGTCGGTTAAAATTAGCAGGTTGACCAACGCAAACATTCATGCCTACAAATATCATATGAATACTTTTGTCTATTGGCCAACCTGCTAATTTTAGCTATCGGTTCATTTCATTGAACTTGATAAAACTGACCCTTATATGCTATGCAAACGAGAATGTATAGTTTAAAACATAATTTTAATATAGACAAATATTATAGAAATAAATATTATGAGAAGTACACATATATAAGTATATAATTAATTATGTAAATTCCTGTCGCATACTCACTTTACATAAATAAAATCAGCGAAATAATTGCAACAAATAAGTCGTCGTTTCGCTACACATACGAGTTACTTAATCGTACGAATTAAATAATTGCACAAAATGTGATATTTATTAATTACAATGATCTCGTATTCCTCGCAATCACGTCTCGAAAATATACGCCTGACAAATATGCAGCGTGTCTCGTCGGTGTCTACCTGTTCGACTGTCGAATAAATACAAGCGCGTAAACAACACGTCGTACGTCGCTAAAACGTCGAATTTATGTGCTACACGGTTGAAAATTATTGAAGTGTAATATCAGTTATGGCTACTCACCATTTAGAATTGTGTCGCGATTCAGAATCCGTCCGTTCTACGCTCCCGACATTCTCCACCGACTACGGAATAATGTGACTGCATTGTGCAGCAACTTCACAGTGTTTATGGCGCGAAACCGACGCAAAAGCGCGCGACGTTCGATACCTCGATACTCACGACATCTCGATATCTCGCATGCGCGCGAAAAGCAAAGATTTTAACAAATCATTGATATATAGTCATGCAATTTATCTACTCTGCGACTAAATATATATTAACTTTCGTGCAATTTTATTCCTTTTCATATAATATAAAATTATCAATAATAATCAATAATAAATATATAAATGGACAAAATCATGATTGCTCGTATAATTATTTCTCATTCAATCTCATACACAAAATGAAATATATCGAATGGATCAATTAATGTGATGAATAATTGTGCATAAAAATCTAATGAATATTTAAATTAATTGATACATGCGATGTCGATTAGTTGTTGAATTGAGTAAAGTTTTTGACGCGTAAATTGAACTCGGAGTATAAATTTTTATAAGAAAAATTATATAATTTTAAATAAATCTTAAAAGAATTATAAGTAAATTGGCTAGAAATACCTGCTAAGTATTAAATTATAAAAATTTACAAAAGGATTGAATATCTAGACATCACTAGAATTATTCATCCCCCCGGGCGCAAAAATTGCTGACGACGGCACTACGCCTGGCCGGGTACTACGTAGTAGGAGAAGCTCTGACGTCAGAGTCACGTGGTATGCGCCGAGAGAGGAACCGAAAATGGCGACGGTAGCTAGTGTTGTGTCGCGGCGTGTGTTATCGTACGCATGTTATTTTCGCAATGTCACGCGAGTGTACACATCGTGGCGTGTCAACAGTGGCTTCAAGAGATGCCGGAAAGGTACCGAGTTGCTGGCCATCGCTTCTGTCACCTTGCTGGCGCAGCAGTATCTACGACCCAAGGTGGTGCATGCGTTGAAACCTCGCAAAGTGAGTACATATACATATTACGAATACAATGTGAATCACGACACAGGCTAGTCGGGCTGGCTTAAAATCTCGCGTCAGCGTTACGCAGTAAGGATTTGAGAGTGAAAATTGTTGTAATCGTTGCCGACAGACTCATAAATGCATATATGTTATATGTAAGTCGAAGCTGTAAGTCGACGCAGTGACGTGAATATAGACACATGCATTGCAAATTCAAAATGTCCAAGTTAACAATTTTGGCGGTAACGATTACGATAATCTGAACTCCAGAAGTAGTGACGCGAAGTTGTGTACATCCCAGTCATGACGTCATGACAGTCACGTGGACTGGAGACCCACGTGCGCGCGAATGAACGTATTATGTAATGAACGTTGCACGAGAGAACGGTGCATAATAACGCATTTCGTTTATTGACGTTTTTATCTATAATAAAGATTGGTTTAGATAATCTATAATAAACATTAATTTTTTGTTTTTTATATAATATATATATATTAATAAAATATATTTTACTGACAATTTTAAATTGATATGTTTAATCAGTATATTTATGTTTTAATTTATAATTGAAATTCTTTAACATCTAAATTTTCTTATTTTTAAAAATTAAATAACATTATTATATCAATAATTATGAGTTAATAATAGATTCATAGTTAATATAATAGACCCATTCCGCATTTCTCACATTTTTACAATCGTTCTATGCTTTTTTTCATCAAATGCAAAGAATATATTTGATGTACATATATTTATTTTATTTTAAAATAAAGTATAAAAAATTTTAATTTTAACTTTTAATAGAATAATTGAAAAAAATTATTTTTCAAATTATACGTTAGATTATTTGTTACATTTTCACAGTACAATTTAACTCGTATAAAATTCGTAATAAAAAATTAACAGCATTTTTTGTCCAATTTTCATATCCATTAAAGGTTTTTTGTAATATTTATTGTTTCAATATTTATTATTAATTGATAAATATTTATTATTGACATTTTTGAAAGAAATTTGAAAGAAATTGATTATAATACTTAAAGAAATTTGTAAATTATTTTACAATTGTATTGTGCGATTTTGTTTACACAGAATGACATAAATAATAAACAGAATTTTTTTATACTTGTATAATACTTCGACTAATAAAAAAAATTGAAAAATAAACAATAGAAATATGCAAGGTAAGAAAAATGATAATTTTTAGAATCTTAATCTTAATATATATAACAACATTTTCAGTTCTATTTTTATATCCATTAAAGGTTTTTGTAATAATTATTTATTATAAATATTTATTATTGACGAAGTATTTTAAAGATATTTGAAAAAATTGATTATAATACTTAAAGAAATTTGCAAATTATTTCACAATTGTATTGTGCGATTTTTTTACACAGAATGACATAAATAATAAACAGAATTTTTTTATACTTGTATAATACTTCGACCAATAATTGAAAAACAAACAATAGGAATATGCAAGGTAAGAAAAATGAAAATTTTTAGATTCTTTAATATATACGTCAGTCACATTTTATTTATACAGAGAGAATTTTCTCTTAGAATTTACCGAGGGACAATATGATATTGGAAGAATTTTATAAGAATTTTTCATTAATATTTACACAATAAAAAATATTAATATATACATAATAAATTTTACACAGTAAAATTAATCGAATATATTTTATATCTTATCATAGTAGATTAATATTTTTATCCCACAATCATAATTTTCAGAGTAAATTCTAAATGAAAATTCTATCTGTATACAGTTTTATTTATATGTACAGATAAACAAATATTTTAAATATTATAATTATTGTATATATTGTTCTGAACCTCTCTTGTGATCTATGTTTTCTTTTTAAAATGTTGATACTGATATCTCTGCATACATATTTTAAATTATTTAAAATATTTTGCGATATCGTTGATAATAGCGAATCGTCCGCAGGCGAATAAAGAGAAAATAAAAAAGAGAAAGAGTATTTTTCGGCGCGTTTAAAAAGGAGTTTTTGGGCCTCAAGAGAGGTGCTCGCGATTGATCTCGGTCGATCTTTGGTCGTGAGAGACCGAACGTGTAGGTATGTTAAGTTAATAACATGGCCCGGAGGAAGCGGATCAGCTTTTGTGTCAAACGATCTTCAAGTATACCGGCGCCACGCCCTCCAAACGATCACATAGTCGATACGACTACGGTTTAACCAGGTCTGATCTTTCAACGTCTCTATTACGACCTAAGAATCCCGAGATTCTCCCGAAAAGTCGAGTATAAACATAGAGAATTATGTCGTGAACTATATAAAATTGCATTTAGATAACTCTTTCTTACACAGCATCGTTAAAATAACACTACATAATTTAAAAGAAAAATACATTATAATTTTATATGAATGATAAAAATATATATTGTTTAATATTTAATAAGTATATTAATAAATCTATATTAATTTAATAAATATTTTTATCAATATTTAGTAAACATTGTCTTTAAAAATGTTTCTCGAGAAATAAATTAAAAATTAAATAGTCAGCATCTCACATATTGTAGAGAATAATAATTTCTATCTTGCGTTAATTTTTAAAGATTCTTGTACTATAATTATACATAAGTTGAATAATATAAAATTAATTGAAATAATTTTTTTATAATGATATACTCAATTAAATAATCGCATTAAGTAGTACTTATTCAATTTCTATATCAATATTCTCTCAATATCATATAAAAATTTCATAATTATTTATTTCTCAGTTCATATTATTTTTCCAGCTTCTAATTAATTGTAAAAATATATTGTGCATACCAGTTTAATGTCGAGTCTTCAATCATGGATTATTATTAATACTTTGAAACTTTTTCAATGAGAAATTTCTTAATCATTTTTTTCGTGCTCGCAAGTTAGACATACGTGTTTCATCAATCATGTCATGTTTTCGAGAACATACCGGATGTCTTTTTCTAAGAAATCCTGAATTCTTTATTTTATAAAACGAGATAGATAAATGACTGGCGTTTTGCGCCATAGTTTATATCCACAAGCTGTCTGCAAATGCAGATGCACACGAGTCTTTACTACGAGACACCCTAATTTGAGAATGCAATGCATGTATCTCTAAACTTCCTTTCCACACCTCGTAACACATGTATCCATCAATTACTGTGTGAGAAGCATGGGAAAGTTGTGTCGAATATTTTTGACATTTTTATATTATTTATGAGGTAATTTGACGTGATATATCTTCTAAAATTTTCACGCGGCTTATATCGATTTATGATTAGCATGCAAATATAATATATTTTTTTAGAAAATATTATATAAAATATTTTTTTAAATTCGATGTGTAGATTTATTATCTATTAATGCGAAAAAATCTTGTGTTTTCTCATCTTGTTTGCGATTTGTTTCTTTTTAATATAATTAGAAATAATCTTCTAATCGCGATATATGTATAGAGTCGGTATCCTTCTTTCTTTCAAAACTCGAAATGTAATAAGTATTCGCATATAGATACATTCTCATGATCCACGCGTCCAATAAAATCAGTTTTTGACACACTTAAACGTGTCCCATCATCTCACTGACTTGTACAAGAATCTCGAAGACATTCTTTGACCGAAGACATTCGTTGCCAAGAATTCGGCGAGAATAGGAACGTTTGCAGGACCAGAACGTTTGCCAGAGTGTCGTGAAGTGGCGTACGTCCGCACACGATTTATGCGAAATATCCAAATTATTTCTTGTGATATAGTCATCAAAACATATACAAATACGATACACGGAAATCATGTAAATATGATGGTAACTTAAATTATTTCATTTAAATGGTACCGAGATATAATTTCTGTAAATTAAATATTTTATTATGTAAACGAGAACAATGATAAGGAATCTAAATGACAAACTTTATAATAATGAACTGTAGTGTGTATAAAGCAAGCATATCATTTCATGGAAGATCATAAATAATTGAGAGTTCTGGCTTTATTTTTCGTAATTTAAACAGATAATTCTGGCGGTTAAATAAAAAAATGCATAAGAACTATTGAAAATAAAACCAGACTTTTCAATTATTTATGATCTTTGAAATGATATTCCAGCTTCACATACACTGAGCTTTAACAACAAGTAAATTTAAGATTGTTTTTTAATACGAATACGAATGTTATGTAAATTTAATTTATTTTCTTATTAATTTAGTTTTCCTGATCCCTAAATTATATAACAGAATATTATTGAAAGAGAGAGATAATGTGTTAAATATTGATTATCTTGATGATCTTTTTTATTAAATGAAATAATTTGACAAAATTTATAGCAAACCAAAATAATATCTATTGTCAAATTTAAATCAAATTTTAATTTGCTAAACGTTTTGGATTATTACAGTATGCTATATTTATTTAGGGGGGATTATAGTAGTATTTATAGTAGATCATCCTTATTCTATTAACACGCGATTATAATTATGTGTACGTAAATGTGTAATATGAATATAGGTACTATTGCATTTTTATATTTAGAGAGAGAGTGCATACATTTAACATTTTTTTAATTCTATGGAGAGAATATTTATTTATTGTTAGTTAAAACTGATAGAATTGAATCACTCGCGATGATTGTTTTATAATTGTGTTATAATTGATTAATAAACATGTAAAATATAAAAATAACATAAAAATAAAATGTACTTAATAAAGTGTATTTTCAATTAAGTTAGAAAATTTTTTAAGTCGGAAAACGCATTTTATAATACAATTTAATACATGGCTCAAAGCGAATTATTAAAATTTATATCGGGAAATAGAATTTCTTTATCGGGTAAACGGAAAAATGCATCGTTTAATACATCACACGTTATTACGAGATATGGCATGACGTTGTTATCGTGCATTACGTATTATTATTTAGAGGCTTATTTGACGAGCGGTTTACGGTAACTAATGGACCTGATCTTCTTCTACTCTTACCTTCCATCAAGATACTCCTAT